ACTTTTACGCCCTTCTCCACCCCCTCCTCAAACTCCTTCACTCACTCCACCCCTGCCCTCTTTCTGTTCTCTTACCAGAGAGGGGCGACTGTATGGCCACCGACCAGAATTACTGCGTGAAGATCAACACCACTGCTCTGCCCTTTGACGTGGCCCAACAGGCCTGTGTGGAAAAGAAGCTGTCTTTGGCAACGGTAATCAGCGAATCGCAGCAGGCCTTTGTCACGGAACAAGTTCGTCAGGTTCGTTTTTTACTTCTTAGTGCTATGGAGTTTTTTGTTAACAGGGTGTTTTTTGCCCCACTGTGACCTCGTTGGTCTCCTGTTCACCGCACTCACGCCACGACGACGACCACCACCACCTGCTGGCATCCTCTCTTGGTCACCGAAGCTTGGTGTGGTAAATATGTTAATGAGATCTCCTTCTGGGTCGCTTTTTTCTCCTATTTTAAACTTAAAGTGTGCAAAAAAGTAACGGAAGCGTTCTGCGGAGGACGAACACGAAGTAATTATTACCCCCAAGCAGAACTTTGAAGGAAAAAACACAGACCTCCTGACTACTGTTTCCAAATACTACTGAATTACCTTCCTCCACCCTCCAACTTTGCTAAGATGACAAGACAAGGTCTGCATGTTGACATCGGGCGCAGGTGTGTGAAGGACGTGCAAGTCCCCGCGATCGCCTTCAGCCTGCAGAAGCACACTGAGGTGGCCTCCGTCGAAACGGGTGGTCAAACTATCATGTGCATGCACCTTGATGTGTCTACAACCTTGGTGCTTTTATACCCGTAACTGCGTCACAGTTCACGTAACAGTTCTGTTAAAAGAAGGTGGTGCCTTGTTGTTTATAGCTGCTTGACCAGAGGTAAGCGCGGGTACAGTATTTTTTTGACGAAAAAGTTTACAGATTTTCTGCGTGTGCCACAAACTCGATGTGCCTCAACGCTTCATCTGTGCCAGGCTTCTGTGAGGGCTGTTCGATTGCACCTCTGTGAGCAGGCCATAAAGGCCGATTAGGAGGCAGTCTTTGCAACCTACTTCTCTACATCGAGGAGAACCAGTAAAACCGTAAGATGGCAGACTGTGACTGCGACGAGAACGCGGTTGGTTTTACAAATACATATCCACTTGTAACTCAGTTCGCCTACAAACCACCGCTGTTCGCCGGAGTCTGACAGTAAACTTTATTGGACGTCCAGTCAGTCCCCCTCTACGGTTGTGAATACTGGGTTTTTCACGAGTAATATGAGTGAGTGCAGGTAATACTTGACCACCGCTACCTGAGGACCATCTTGCGGAGCCTCGGGTGATGATCAGCCTGAGCATTTGAGGCAACAAGCAAGCCACTCGCAGAAAATTCGACGAGCTTCCGTTCAGTGCGCGTGTGTGCGTGACGCTCTCAAGCACGCGGGAGCGTACCCAGCGAGTTGGCTGAGTCAAGTGTGCGTGTGCTGAGTGACTATCACGCCAGCTACCTACACCCTCCCTCATCCCCGGTCTTATTTACTTTGCCTTTACACCGGAAACGGAGGTGGGAGTGGCGCGCGAGTGGGCAGATTCTCCGCAAGTCTGCTTAAACTCCTGTTTTCTGTGCGTTGCTTTTGCTTGCTGTAGCTTTCGTGTTGCTTGCCCAGCTCGCCTCAGTGTCTGTTGCGGCT